TTACGAATTGTTGCTCGGTGCTTAATGAATTAACAGAGAACAAATCGATCGATGAAATTCAACAATTTTCCGGCCATTAAAGTAAAATAAAGATGGCCACGTTAAACTTGACCTTCAAACTTGGTGACGCAAGTGTGACACGCGTTTCGAAATATCGTCGACTGATGAAAAAAAAAAAAAAAAAAAAAAAAAAAAATAAAGAAAGAAAAAGAAAGATGAAAGAAAAATAAGAGAGAATGGAAACGAAATGGAAGAAAGAATTTCGTCGACGCGTATTCTTTCTCCTCTCCCTTTCCGTTATCGTTCTTCCTCTTTCTCTCTCTCTCCGACACGGGGGAACGTGTACGCGGAAATGCAAGCATCGGCGGATGCCGGGGATCGAGCGCAGTCGGCAGAAAATCGATTCATCGCTGCGCGAGCCAGGCGACTCGATTTCAAATCAAAGCGGTCGCGGGGCAGTTGAGAACAGGAAGTGACCTGGTTTCTCGCCACTCGCCAGGACATACAGCGTATAGCTCTGCAACTCGGTTCCTCGAGATTCAGGATTTTTTCTAGAAATTACTTTACAAAATGGCAATGCGCCACGATAATCCCTGCTTCAAGTTTGATCGATTGAACGAATATTAAATTAAAAAAATATATACGTTACATGTTACGTACATTGCTCGATATTATATTATATTACATGGAATTATATGAATTAATACCATAATATATATTGGATTATGTTTGTATTTTGAAGATTTATATTTTAAGTTCTACAAAAAATATGACTAGATCAAGAAACTTAAGATTTTTACTCCTTTTCTTTTCATAAGATGGCCAATGTCATACGAGTCTTCGATAGCTAGTGTTTCAATTAGATCAATCGAATGGATATTGAATTCTATTATTTATATTTTGCCGAGGTGTAAAAAGATATGTTTGTAGAAATTTTTGATATAATTATTTCTTAGAAAATAACTAGATCACTGAAGATTATACAATTTTATGATTATTAATTTTATAATTGAAGAACTTGGATCCACATTCCGTATGCATAGTCTTAGAATCTGAAATTTTCACAAAATTAAATAAATTTCCACTAAAGATATGCATATGGAATACGTGTAAAATTCTACAATAATGTTTATTTATAATTAGCAAATGAAACTAAAAATTCCACTAATCAGGCACAAAATTCTCCCTTTCATGCGATTATTTCTTCACTTCCTAAACAACAAGTCGATCAAAGACTAAAATCAATTCGACTTTCTGGCTCAAAGTGGAAAATTAATAACGAGGATGAGATACATGCTTATTATATTATGTAGGAAGCAACAGAGAGAGAGAGAGAGAGAGAGAGAGAGGGAGAAAATGGTGCTGACTGCGAAGTATCGGAATCGCCTCCGGTAGATCAGCCTTGATCCTGTTTGCCGGCTGCCAGGTGAGCCAGGAACGCGTGAAAGTGGTACCGTGACCTTTCCGGCTTGCACTTGGTACCGCTTCGGCGTTGACCTTAGCACGAGTTTCGGGCGTTCGGTGGATGCAACGAAAGCACGAGCCACGCGAAAAATAAACGGGCTGCGGTTGTGTGGGCCGGCCGCTCACGTGTCGCGTACGATGGCAAGGTCGTTAGCATGGGGAACGAGTTTTCAGCAGCCGTGACATGAGGTGTCGACGAATTCAATTTTCACACTGACTCACGCCGATTCGACATACCCGTCGAACGTATTCGTTTCTTTTCTCGTTTCCTTCATTTCCTTTCCTTTTAACCGCTTGACCATTAGATCGGTGCGTATGAAAGTCTGATTGCTGCCACTCTTAATTCTAATTCTATGAATTACTTAAATATAATTGTATTCAAGTACAAGTATTAATTATATTATATTGCTTTTTTATATACATATGTATGTATGTATTACTTAAATATAATTACATTTAAATATATTAATCACAACTGTATATACGTCGTTAATTATGTTTAATGCTGAGAAAATTTATAATAAAAGTATGAAACTTCGTTATATTGCAATGTTAGATTTGGGAAAGGAACTTTATAAACGAAGAACTTATAATTCCGTACTTTAGAATTTTTTTAATTCTAAAATTAACGAATCTGCTATATTGAAAGAAAATAATCGTTGAAATAATGTATCGAGTTAAATGAAAATTAAACTAAATCTACGATATTTTTAAGAAACTGGAGAATTAAAGATTAATTGTGACAAGCGGCATCTACCTAATATTTTATGCAATTTTGCATTTTAGAGTTTCTTATAAATGCATAAAATTTGAAATAAATCTCATCTCAAAGAAAAAGTTAAAGAAGTTAAAGAATGTAAAAGAAACGAAAATAAAGAAATAGAAATAACAGTCTATTAGATTGATAATTCTTTAAAATATTATATACTTAAAGTAATTATTTCTACGTGATTCAATATATAGCACTTTCCCAATTAACAAGTCCTATTATTAACTTGAAAATTCAAAAATTTTTGAACTGTAACAATTTGTTACAAAATGTCCTATCATTGAGATCTCCCCAAATGTTAAATGCGTGTCTCCAATAATTTTCAAAGCACTTATTTTAAATATAAACTTAAGCAAGAAAATCATGTCAAAATGTTTCGTGTTAATTAATAAAGTTTGTTCTCCCTAATGTAGTCGTTAATTAATAGATAATTGGTAATTGATAAGTTCAAATTTTGGAAAAAGAACATTTCGTGAGCACCAATCTAACTTACAGCAGCCTTATATTTGAGTATATTAGTTAGATAATATATTTCAAAAGTAATGAATTGAATAATTTATTACTTTAATTAGATATTATTTGAAATAACTAATAACTAACTAATAATTTTTCTCTAAATTATTTCATTATTTGGCTATCAAATGAAATTACTTTTTATTTTATATGTTCAAACAATTCGTTAAAATATTTTTCAATATTTGCGTTCCAACACTGTCAACCATTTTACAGATGTAAATTTCAAATAATTTTATAATTGAGATTATTTATCTTTTTCTATTTAAATAATCGAATTAACTCAAATAAGAAATAATTCATTAAATAATTCATTTATAAATAAAATGTGTCCAAGTCAACTACACATCTACATAATCCCGACCCGTATAACATAATTCTAATCATGGTTAAATATTTTATAAACGAGTTTTTCGAAGGTTTACGAGAAGACTTGAAGCAGAGAGTGTGGTTACATAACGCGTGGACACGAGTTTTTCGAATAATCAAAAATAACTATCGAGGCAGTTTGCATAGTGAACGAGTTGTCAAGCTGAACGGGATGTCTAATTAATTCCAGCTCGTTAAAACAGTGGAGATTTACTTTTTCTTGATTATTCACGAACTGCAAGATCTTTCGAAAAATCTTTCATTAATTTCCAAGTGATTTTCAAAAGACGACTTGAAAAATTCATTTAAAAAGAAATAACAAAGGAAGAGTAACTTGTAGACGACATTCGATTTTTGGGAAATTTGTTCGCAAATCGTAGAATCTTCGTGATGTCAAACTCGAAAATTTGAAATAGAAACTCCAGACAACACGACGAATAGATCAGAATGTCAAACTCTAGATTCAAAAAATGATTGTTCAACTAGTTCCTAAAAGAATCTCAATCTCGAGGTAAAAAAAAAAAAAAACTCGATTAATTTATTCTAAGAAAAATAAAGAAACAGACAGTTTAGACAACTTTTAACAAACAACCAAAAATTCTTGTCGATACTGGATACACCGAAAACGGAAAGGAAGAGAACAACACGTTAAAAAAAAAGAAGAGAGAAATTTTTCCTTACAGTTCTCCTTGTTTCCACCGAAGAGCAAATGATATCTGGCAAAGTTCGGCCTGGAATCGAAGTGATGTCCCTTGATTGTGAGCACTTCTCTGATGTTCTCCAGGCCATTGACGACCACGCAGGGTACGGATCCCATCCTTAACTTGATCACCTGGCAGTCATAGTCCCTAACAAGGTCAGCGAAAGCTTTGTAGGGTACGTCGTAGCGTCCCAGGATATGAAGGGAGCCCAGAATCGGCCATGGTCTCGGGCCAGGTGGTTCCGGCAGGACGTGATCGTCCAGGATGACATTCTTCGCCGTTTTCTTGGACCTTAGATGATCCAGCAGGATCAGCGCGAGCGCCAGGAACGTGATAGCGATTAGGAAGCACGTGGTGGCTGTCAGGGGGATCATCTTCGACCTTGTCTCTCCTCGATGCACTCACTGACGATCGGTCACCGATACGTTTTCGTGTCGTGTCTCGTGTGTGGTACCCCGACCTAGGCGAACCTGTGTCGCGAGATACGGCTACCGATTGCTCTTTTCGAAAACCTTCGCGTCACGTGCGTCGCTGTTACGCTGTTACGATTGCAAAACTCCTCGATTCTCTCGACGATGATGTGCGTGTTGTTTGAAAAGGAATCGTTGAAAACCAAGATTTGAACAAATCGTCGTCAAAGTGTAGAAAAATCGTGAGAAATACGAGAAAACCAAAGAAGAAAAAAGAAAAAAAGAGAAAAAGAAGAGAAAATCCGATCACCTTCGCGCCGATGATGTGTATTCGAACCGTGTGTAATAAATGTCGATCGAATGGTAAAAACCGAATCGGCGAATCGTGCGAAAGGTGAAATCTGGCTAGGTCGTGCAATTCGCGGAGCGTGGCCCGTGTCAAACGTGAAAAAGATGCGTCGTGGTCCCGAGGTGTATCGGTAGATCGGTTCGTTGGTCCGTCTGTGAACGGTCTGCCGATCTGGCTCGGTCTGTGGGGATAGGATGGTTGGCCGGCTATCTTATATAGCGGCGTAATGTAGTCAGCACATTTGCGTCGCCTGGTGCGCCTCTCAACCCCATACATATGGATTCGTGTTGAGAGACGAAAGGGGGAGGAGGTGAGTTGGTCTCTCTGTCCGTACACTCTGTCGTAAGTGTATAACATACAACCCGGTGTGTTGCTGGTGCTGCTGGTGCTGCTGCTGGTGCTGCTACTGCTGGTAGAGAGACGAATTTCAAGAAAGCACCGAGAGAGCACCGACGACGGATTCTACCGACACTCTCGGTCGTTCGGAGTGTGTGTTGGAAGGAACGTCGGCAGAGAAGCCCGCCGATGAGAAGAAGGGCTCTTGGAAAAAGGTGGAGGGAGCGGAACGGAAGGATGATAGAAGGTATGATGGTGGAGAAGAAGGGGCGGGGAGGGGAGGGGGGCGGGCGAGTTGAGAGAGAGATGCAGAAAGGTGAAGGGGCTGGAGGAGCAGGGAGATTCTCTACGACCGAGGAGAGACGTGTGTAACACATGAAGAGAGGCGGTGGGGGAGGGGGTGGAGACGCGACGGTCGGTAGTGGGGTCCAAGTAGGGCCGAAGCTGGGCCAGACTGGCCAACGAAGGGACGCTTCTTGCCCTTGACTTCTCTCCTTAAGGTGCCATCGGGTTTTCTGGCAGCAAGGTGGTGCTCCTCCAGTCCAACGAGCACCTCGTGAGACCGGCTACTCACTCTCATCTCACACCGACCATCTCAAAGAGCATACGCTCTTTATCCCGCTCTTATTTTAATGTACTTGACGTTTAACGATTCGGCAGGCTGCCTATGGGTTCTGCAAAAGCGGATCCGCAGCGGGCCACGAGCAGATATATAAGCAGATACACGTCGTATGGCTGCAATCGAAAATCATTGGGTTTTTCCACCCGGGGCGAGGGAGAGGGAGGAGAGGGGCAGGGGAATATGATGGACTTGCTCGTTAGCCTTACGAGCTGTCCTTTCGATGGGCCATTTAAGGGCCAAGGGTGACAGAACAAAACGAATCGAAGCGGAGAAAAACTGTCCGTAGTCCGTTTCGTTCGCCTTTTACGACTGAAATTTCAGCAACTGGAAAATTGTAAATCGTAAATATCTTATCAGCGATGTTAATTAACTTCTAGATATTGAAAACTGTCGTTAATTGCAGTGGAAATGGAATTTATATTTACAGTATTGATTTTATCTAAAACAATAATGATGCTCCAAAAAAGGAAAAGAGCTTCTAAATATC